GAAAATAAAATGGAAACTGCTGTAACATATTGGGGCTCTACATATATAGCTGAGATGTCTATGTTGAAGCGAGATCCACAAAACTGAGCTCCCTCTCCTACCTTGCATGCAAGGAAAGAGGCACACAGAGCCCCAACTTGGAACGCCAACAATTCCAGGGTGAAACCTGAGATCCCAAAAGCCTAAGCCTTCAATCGCCAGGCATGCTGACGGATCTGTCCTTGGCGCTGGACACGCAGAAGGATTTCAAGCGTGGCGCCTGGCTTCTCCAGAGCAGTACCTGTCCCGCGTGGATGTTTTTGATGTTGTCAGTGATCAAGGTCCTCGCGCGCGCCCTCAAAGTCTGATAGGACCCTTCTTATTTGTAAAAAAAGCCATGTTTTTATAAAAAGAGTCATGTTTAAAGAGAACAACCCAATCCCCAGTTGCAAGACGAGCTGAGATGATTTCGGCCCCCCACCCGAAGCGATTTCAATCTCTGCGTAGAGACCGATAATTGCCACTGTCCGTAAGGCTTCAAACAACTCCATGGATCATGGAAGCTGGTCGAAGCAATTGTCAAACTAAAAACTCAGCATCAAGAATTCTTACAAACAAAGTTTGCAGCAGCAGCAGCCGCAGTGGCGGCGGCAGCAGCAGTAGACAATAATAGCATGCAATGGAATCATGGGAGTATTCAGACGGACTGTTGGCGTGACGGTGGTGGTCGTTTTTTTTTTTTTTTTTTNNTTGTTGTTGTTGTTATTGTTGTTGGTGGTGGTGGTGGTGGTGGTGGTGGTGATGGTGGTCTTCTTCGTCATCGTAGCTGCGAAGGTGGACGAAGACAGCAACCCTTCCCTAAACTCCCTACAGTCGATACCCCACTCCGTCATTGGCCAAGGGACCACTGCGAGCAGCTTCCAGAGGGCAAGGCTGTAAGTCTGCACTCTTCTCCGATTAGGGGTTCTACTGTTATGGCTTAGTGGGACAAGAATGAAATGAAGAAGGAAATAGCAAATGAAATGGAAACTAAACTATCATTAAGCATTTTGGGTGAAGGGATATCACCTGAAATAATGGAGAATCAAATGGAGTATTCGAAGTGTGCCACCATTCCCGATAACTTCACATCCAGTCCCAATGTTGGCTCACAAGGTATAACCTGTAGTCTGTACGCTCGATACAATCCCCACCTACGGGTTGGCAGGCAGAATCTTGTGGTAGATGAGACGGGTCAAAACGTTCTCGGCGTGCAATATCTGCTGTTGAGCCCAAGATACTTGAGTACCAATATCCGTTTCCATGTTCTTTTCCATTTGAGTTCTGATTGTTGGGTTAGAAATTACCAAGCCCTGTATAATCCATTTATACTTCTTTGAAACCCGATACTCAACAATTCGCACAGGCTGCGCTGGGCGGTATTGAATTCAATGTCACCGTACTCACAACAGGCTTCTGGCCATCTTATCAGGCGCGTCGGAGCTTTCGGACCTGTTCGCAGGAAACCAGGGGCTTAGTAAGGGTTTAAGAGCAATGAGAGCTGCCGTCCCTCTTTTGGGACCTGAATTCTGGCACATAGGGATTTTCCTCTTGCTTTCCATGTTTGGGTTTCTACCACAGTAGTGCGGTCCCGGGCTCACCTTGAACCCTGAACCGGAAATCTGAGCCAGGGAGGCCTTTATACTTGGTGTCTAAGTCTAGCGCTCTTCCACATCAGTGTTTCATACCGTTTTCTTGTTTGCTTTGATTGACAGGGATCTTCATATTTCCCTTTCAATATTTTATCTACCCCTAGGATCCCTAAGACACTCCGCTCCCCTTGTTCCTAAATCCTGAAAGCTAAGTCCCAGCACCTAAATTCCTAAACCAAAATCCTAAATCCTATGCCTTAAATACCAAATCCTAAATCCAAAAAACTCCCTAAGCCTTGAAACCCAAATCCTCACCTTTTTCAATGGCCACTGTCAGGTGCAGGAAGCTAGCCTCTGCCCAGAGATGCAGAAGGCACGTCAGCAAAGGGGATGATATGAGCTATGGTCATACATAGGGATAATGGAAAAGAACATGGAAACTACTATAATGGGTTTAGGGTATAGGAATATTACCCCAAAGGGTGAAGAATCAAATTGAAAAGAACATGGAAAATTAAATGGAAACTGGGATTATGCAGGGGTTTATAGGGGTTATGAGCTATAGTCTAAACTTCTGAACGGCTTATATGGGGGATTACATAGGGGAGTATGATAGAGGTTGCTAGGGGGATGCTAGGAGTTTACGCTAGCTTGCATGGGAGGCAGGGAGGGTTTAGAGGGCATAAATGAAGGTATAATTATGTAGGGAGCATGTTAGGGTATGTCGGGTTATATAAGGGTATATGAGGGTATAAGAGGGTATGTGAGGATATAGGGGAATATGAGGGTCCAAGAAGTTATATGAGGGTATATGAGGGTATAGTGTATGAAGGTATTCAAAAGGGTACGTTAGGGTGGAAAGTCGTAGGTAGGGTTGAGGTATCAAAAATGGAGAATCACACCAAGCAAGCAATGTGAGAGTCTATCACAACATGGGTCTCTCAGGGATTTTAAGGGGTATATTGGGATTACAGAGTCAGAGGGATTGTGGGGCTTCCTATTGGGAACTATAGAAACCCGAAACCCTAAAGTCTAAGGCTCTAAACTCTAAACCTTGCATAGCGCCAGTTGAGGCACTGAAGTACAGGTCAGGGTCCAGGTACAACTCCTGCAGTGCCAGATTTGCGAAATGCTGCCGTGAAGACGGACTAGTAAAACCCTGTGCCAGTCGCCAGACGGACAAGTCCCAAGGGTTGAACAAAGAATCTTAGACCCTAAACCATTTTGAGGAACTCCTGGTGTTGCGCTGAAGAGTGCAGTCTGCAAGGTTTCGTCGGCAGGCTTCCTGTTGTTTTGGTTGCCTTGTCCCCAGGCCATCCAGGTGTTTAGCAACTACTACAACGCCAGCGTCCCAGATGAGCAGAAGAAAAGACGACCGCCGCAGATAAATGCTTGGAGCAATTCTGCAAGTTTCAGTGATCAATCCATTCAAATCACACTGGATAGCCTCTATCAAGCAGGCATCCTGACATAAGGGTCTTCAATCCTATGGCATATTCCTTGCGAAGCTCCAAAACTTCCCTGACTGCTGAGGGCAAGACGCAGCACCGGAGGCTGCAGTGGATCCATTCTCTTGGACAGGCACAATGCTTTCATGGGAAAATAGGTAGAGCTTAGGAGGACCCCGCACCTTGTAACATTGGTATAATAGGACTATAAGAGGACCCTCATACAATCCTTATTATCCCTTATGGTCACTATTACTGTATGGGGGGTCCACCTAAGGTAGATCTGTAGAGCATTTTCAGGGTAG